CAGGAAGTATCTCAGAGTGCCTCTTCTTTCGTTAAACGAGAGAAATCATTTATTTATCGAAGTTGACTGTTGGTAGGCAACTATTCTGACACCTGAGAATGCCAGGAAGTATCTCAGAGTGCCTCTTCTTTCGTTAAACGAGAGCAATCATTTATTTATCGAAGTTGACTGTTGCAGTACACAAAACATGCAATTTAGAAGAAAGATATATTAAATATGATTACAGTTACGATTGAACACGTCTCTCTTCGACAATAATCGTTTTGCTAGTCACTGGACATTTTCCGTAAGGGTTACGGGGATATTTTTCCTGGTGATGTGAAGTTGCGAACTCGTATCGTAAATTTACTACTCCAAATTGAAAAGTCAAAATTGCAAATATTAAAATTAGAAAAACTCAGCATTACGAATCAACTTGGTTTTCTTCGAGTAGAAAATAGGAAATTAAATTTTTACGACTGCATCTGTGAATTTACGAGTGTCTTTGAATAATTATGATTGCGTTCGTAAACGTACAATTTTACTTGTAAATCACAATACCATGGAAAATACTGTAAATTTACAAGGATATTTTTCACATTGGTACTGTTCTATTCATTTTTCTATCACTTTGTTGACACAACCCGCGGGGGTGAAAACAAAATAAATGTTTACGGCTATCTCACTATTATTATTATGCTAGAATTGGGACAAAAAAGATTGAAAGGAAACCCCTTGCATTGTGAAATAAAGGGTCTTGGGTTAACACAATAACATAGCGAATTGGGCTCACCCTTCTGTACGGCTTGCACAGCTCCTCGGCTAGCAGGTGATGGATCTTGGCGTCAGTGAGGTCCTTCTTCGAAGGGTTGTATTCGAGCTCCTGCATGTCGATGTTCCACGTGGACTGGTCGAGCTGGTTGAAGGACGCGCTAGACAGAGCACCACCACCCCGGTTAGGCCTTTTTGGGCCTCGGTCCAGCAGCGGCGCCAGCAGGGCCGCCGCGGCAGAGGCCGGCACCTCCACCACAGAGGCCGTGTCGTCGTCCTCCGTGATGGTGACCTCAGGTACTCTATACCACCGGAACAGGAAGGGAAGAAAGGGCATAGGAAAGAGGAAAAGGAAAGGGGGAGAGACGGAGAGTGAAAGAAAAGAGACACAAAGAGAAAGAATATTAAGCGATAAGTGAGACAAAAAAGATAGATTAAGTGGCAGTAGCGATATGTTAGCAGCACAGCGGTGGCGCGCTATGTACAGCCGAGCAGAGCCGGCCAGTTCTGCCTTGCCACTGAATCGGTCAAGCGAAGCCGCCTGGCGCCTGGCCGCACGAGTTGTTCATGTGCCTGCATTTAAGGACTAAGTTGCTAAGGAGGTGCCCTTGGGAAGGCTTAAAAAAAGGGGGATTTACGCAATCACCAGAGAAAATAAACCGAATTAATTAAAATAAAACTAAACAAGATAGGAATCTCTCAATGATTCTCATGTCAATCGCTATAAATATAACATACGAGCCTTGTCTGGCGAAATTATTTACAAAAATATTGGCAAAAACTAAGATGTGCTGGCCTATTAAGTAAACGAAAACGGCTGCAAGTTTATGGTTATTAAATACGCCATACTATTGTCACAACTTTCATTACAGAATAACAACCTTAGTACTTCATGCCTGAAGTTCATCTCTTAATCAAAGCAGTGAAAGTGCATGCCAAAAAGGTCATTGTCGGATAACTACTTGGGCCTCAAAAAACATTTACAGTGGGCTCTAATATTCCCTAGTTCATACTTAAGCGTGTTAATAACTTTTAGAAAGTATTAGTAAGAAATAAAAATTGAAGGGACCATGCTTAAGAGGATAGAGGGATGTAGACGAATGGTATAGGAGTACCTGGAGTCCAAACATGAACTGCTAACCCAAGTCAAACTGGCGCTGAAGGACAGTTCGAAATGGGGGAAGTATCATGATGTGCCTCACAGATAAGTCAAGGGTACATTTTACACAAACCAAAAACAAATTTTAAAGAGGTACTGAAACAGAAACTTGGAATTAAAAGTATTTTTTTCCTAAGATGGCTTCCAACCACATTTATGTTAAATCTGAGTCAACCACAATCAACATTGATATTAGACCCACCGATTAAAAAAAATGCCCTCTGCAGCAAATCGCAAATAACAGCGAATTTGGGCCACGCTTTAATGCAAACACAAATATTTTAAACAAATAAAAAGAGATTCCGTACCTGCCGTTGAGGTTCAAGTTATTCGAAGTATAATTCCTAAATATCGCAGACATGCTTTCAGTCCCTGAGATGTTGCCCACGTTTGAGGCATTTCTTTTCATCAGCTCCATGGCATCTTTCATCGTAAGCTTGGAGAAGGTTTCTAAAATCTTGGGTTCAGCTCCCTTATGGTCCCGAAGTAGGTAAGGCCTGATGAACTTGTTGTCAAACCGCTTGAACCTGCGCGAAGAAACAAAGAGGGAAGTTAGATGCGACACTCACCGTAATCTTGTGCGTCGACAGTGGGTCAGTATGTATAGGGATTGGAGTCAGCGTCGGTTGACAATCTTGACGCACAAACATCTCCATTTCTCGCCCGGGGCTCGATATCTTTAGAAGGCTTTGGCCCGGCCTCGGGGAGGTGGAGCATAGAGGCGGAGCGGAGGCGCCCAGCATCAGGGCCCCCCGACCCTGGCCTGCTGCTCCACCCCGGCCCGGCCGGGCCCCAAGGAAAGGTCAGAGGGGGAGGGTAAGTACCTGTCCCGAACGTGGTGGTTGCCGTGGTGGCCCAATATATCCTCGATGCCCGCCATGGTGTGGTCCATAAACTGCAAAGAAACAGGCAGGTCCAGATCAATAAAGCTTGCTTTGGGAGGGGACTCGCAGAGCCGGGAGGGTTTAGGCGGGGCACGGGAGGACAAGAAAAGGAAAGGCAGGAGAGAGGGGAACAGAAGCAAGGGGAAGCAGATATACTGTAGGAGCCTTACCCGCTCGTGTATCCTTTCATTCATCGTAGGCTTCCTCTTTTCCGCCCTCTTTACATTCAGGATTTTCACCAAGGGTTTGATTGTAATGCCCTGAAATCATAGAAGATTGATTACGATACTAATCGATGCCAATTCTACTGCATCACTTTGGATTGGATTTGGTGTGGAGTCTGACGAACGCACCTGGAAGAATACAGTGAAATATATGACAGCAATAGTTGTCGTTACAAACATGGGCTGCAACTTGACGTGCTTCGGATTGATAAGGAGAACTAGAGCGAAGGCAACAGCACCACGTAGACCGCCGTACGACATGACGAACTTCTCGACGCGGTCCAGCTTGTAGAGACGGAAGGGGTTGACTAGGGCGGTTAGCACGATTACTCCTGGAACAGACAGGACGACGTTAAATCAAGTCGGACACATAACCAAGGAGAACTCCATGCCATAATGGACCTAGACTCACCGATAGCTCGGAATACGGAACAGAAAAAGATGGTGAGGATGACGAACCACGTGTTCCAGTCGTGGTTCTTGTTCACCGTCGCCACGCCCAGGAACATAAAGATGACAGTCTCCGAGGATGAGGACAGCATCTTCATCGCGTACTTCACCGTCGTGTGCGATTTGTGCGAGATGTTGGCCTCCACATAGTTCTTCATGGTGATGCCACAGAACGTGATGCTGCAGAAAAACAGTCAGTAATGGGTCTTTGGCTGCCTACTGTACACGGCTAGGATCAAGGCCGAGTCTACCTTTGGACTACTGTACTCACGCCATGATGCCGCTCAGATGGAATATCTCCGCGTTGAGGTAGCACAGGTACGCCATGACGAAGATGAAGATGGGCTCGATGACGCGGACCTGGTGCGTGAAGCGGGTCACCAGCCCCGTGGCGAAGCCCCACACGATGCCGATCACGGTGCCGCCCAACGCCACCACGAAGAAGGACGCGAAGCCCGCCAGCAGGTCCGTGGCCAGGATGTTGCTCGGGCCCATCTCCGTGTACGACTCGAACATGTGGTACAGGACCTGGCGAACACGTCCGCAAGTGGCGAGGTGAGGTCAAGCGCCCGAGCGGCGGACAGACCCGTGGCGCACGCGGGCGCGCCGGGAGGGTCTAGCCGGAGGGGCCCGCCCGGCTCGCCCTGCCCGCCCTGCCCCGCCCCGCAGAGCAGACGGCGCGCCGGCTGGCGGCGTGCGGGGCGGGCTGGCGCTGCATGCAAACAGCGACGCCAGGGTGAATGACTCCCCCAGCGACCGTAAGGCGCGCGTCGCGTCACGCCACGACACGCCGCGCAGTGGGACGGCCTTGCGTTGGCCAGCGCAGGAGGTGCCGTGATGGGCAGCATGCTGCCCAGACCTGGGCTTGCTGGCAGGGACATTGGGGCGACTTGAGCTTGAGACGGGAACCCTGGGGCCTTAAGAATGCCTGGCGGACGTCGGCCACCTTGGCACCGGCCAAGGACACGGCTAGAGGTCGTTAGGGATTCGGAGGCGGGCACCTGCCCAGCGCCGGCCGTTTATCATGCTCATAGAAGAGAGGACCGGCGGCTAGGGAGCGTAGCGTTCCTCCCCATCCTGAGTGGCGGGGCGTGGTTGCATGCGGGGTCATTCGCACGCCGCCCTCCCCGCCGCCCCCACTACGCAGGTGACCTTTGGCGCCGCGTCAGCTCCCGTCAGGCCGCCATGCCCACTCGAGTCCTAAGCCAGAGACGGAGGGAGCCGAGTCGAGCCGCCGAAAACTGGCTAAGTGAATTATCCGTCCGTCATCATTTCGCCCGTTTCCCCTGTTCGCCCCGCCCTGCCGCGCCCCCAC